TTTTTAAGCTCTTCATTATTGTTATCAGTAGTATCTTTGTTAACTAATGGACATATTAATGGTTCACTTTCATCATTACCAACCATACCTTTTACAGACCTATCTGTAGTGATGATAACAGACAGATTGTCACACTTAATTACGTCTTCATTCACTAAAGGTTCATTTATATCAGACTCAAATCCTTCTTTCACTAAAGTTTCATCACTATTTGCATTATTTTCAATCTGAACAATTTTTACTTGCTCACTTTTTGATGATTTTTCAGCTACTGGCTGATTGACAAAGGTTTGCTCATTGTTGTTGTTATTGAAAAGTGTTGCGCTACCTCCCTTTAAATAAGACGCGCTCCTTTGATTACTTGGTCTAATTGGTGTCCTGTTTCTTGGACTACGCAAGAGATTTACCATGCTAGAGAGATATTGCAAAGGACTTTTGGATGTTCTACTACTGACTGGAGAACTATCATTTTGGTTTACTTCGTTTGGAGATTGACGATTGTCTGGAATGGTCACACTCAATTTATCCAATATTGTTTTAAAAATTGTGTTCTTCCACTTCCAACATCCTTTCCCTTGAATAAATATTGTTTTATTTTCATAAATTGTGACAACAGTTTTCTTTTCATTTTCAGATATGTGTGTTTCAATACCATTAGTGTTTTTGTTTATTTTAAAAGAGTACTTTTTACATAGATAATCCTTTATTTCTTCATATGTTTCCTGTGTAAAAATTGTAACAGTGATGGCATCAGTTTTATTTGAAAATTTTGTGTTATATAATACACCTTCATTTCTATCATTAAAATCGATAGTTTCTTCCATTTTCACATTTTACACGACACACCAAAGACGGTACCATATGCGAAACTATAAGCGGTTTTCAACCGTTACAGTTTGTACTTTAGTTTAGTTGGCGTACTTTCCGGTTTATTCTAATCAAGTATACCGCTATACAAATCGATGAGCGTCTATATATCATGATCGTAATTGTCTGCACAAGGTCATTCTCATTTCTTACAATTTAGACGTGTATTTCAAAAATAAAAACCATAGTTACTTTCCTTAAATGTTATTTCACTATTGTGCAAAGTTATTTTTTAATCAATCACGTGTATCCATATAAATTTTGTAAAAATAATTCGGCGAGTGCCGCGGATGTTTACATGCTGTGCTCGATTATTGACTGTCCAATATATTTGCATATATATTAAGTCTTAATAAATGTACATTCCTGATCAAAATTTACTTATTACACCACTTGAAATATACATTGCAAAAAAAATGCATCATTCATTATTGCAATTATACTCATTATTGCCATTTCAATTTTTTGACGGTACAGTATGTTAAATAGAAGATGTACAATGTAAAAAGCAAATAAAATATCCCTTCTATTCTGTTCACATCAAGGCATTTATTTATGAAGGTGTTATTTTTTTAAGTTCATGTAGAAAATCCAATCGAGCTAACACCTTTTATGGTTTTTATTACTACGCCAAAAAACTCACTATTACTTCATAATTGCCATAAATATTATTTGGCAGAAAAAAACACCATTCAGAAGTTGAACATGACATTTTCAGAAAGATACCAAATCGTATCAGGTGGATTAAAATCTCTTTGTCACATATTAAGTTGTAACGGCATGCAGTAGTTCCAACCCGTAACAAAGCATAGTTATTTTGCTGACTGTAAAGAGGGTGGTGTTTTCTTCATTCCTTCACCTGCTCAATTTACCATGTTCCATATTTCTGAAATGTAAAGATCACCGATACACCTGCATTGTAAAAATTATATTCAACTTAGAATCAACTGTTTTTCCTTAAAGGCACATTATGCCTCAGAAATAAATCATTTTTTCCTACATTAGGCAGTGCAAACATAAGTATTATAACGTTAAAATAATGCTTTAAAGCATGTTAGATGCTTATTAGCAAAATAAATTATGGCTGAATGTGAAAATATTGTTTTAAAGGTCGCAAACTGTAAATACAGTCGTAATTTAACTTCCACACAAAATACTAAATCATTAAAACTGTTTTCAAAAAACAAAAGATTATTTATATAAATGACCAATGAATATCTGTTTTGAAACTATAATAGGATACCAAAAATAAAAGGTTTTTCAGATATAAAAATAAAAACATTTTTGGGGGCATAATGGGCCTTCCTTTAAAGCTGCACACCTTAATACCAGCAAACAAACTGTTTAAGAAATAACTCTTCAGAAAAAAATGAACAAAGATTTATTTTGCTTTGACCAGACGTTTCAAAACAAACATTTCAGAATTTCAGACATTACCTTGTGAATTTATGCATTATGTTCTACTTTTTCACAAAAATATGCAACTTAATTATTAAACAACGAGCAAATACCAAGAACATGGAGAAAAAAAATTGATTTGTGCTTCGGATATTCAACGGTAATAGAGAACGATTTTCAATGCTGACTGACTGTTCACATCATTTGGCGGTGTCTTTGATGTCAGCATCAACATTTAACTTGTATAATGTATAAAATATTCATATCACTTGTATCACTTTGCGTTTCACTTGCAAAAGACAGCAGACGCACGGGTTGAACCATCAAATTTAAAACAACGACAACAATGTTATCATTACTCTTATTAAAAAATGCAGATAATAGAATTCAGGAATACAATAAACAAATAATTACGTCTTACTCAAATAGTGGTCATAAAGCTTTTATTCACTCAAGATGTCATTAAACGATTCTCTTATTATTTCTAGTATATTCTTAACTGCAATGGTTCAATTATTCTGGTTGGGTTTAACCCTTTACCTATTGGTACGTGCACTCCGTGCCCAGGCTATGTATTATCGTCTGCTCAAATTTGTATTTTGTCATTGAAATCCCATAAACTTCAAATGGACTGTTCCAAATTCTATGCAGGGCAGATCCATTACACTAATTTAGTAGGTGAATGGTTACTGTCTCGACGGTACAATAATAAGTTTTTAGCTTTACTGGCGGAAGAAGGTCCAAAATAGCCCTCTATAAATTATTTTAGACACGGTGGGGCACTCGAGTAGAACCACCAATTTTCTCTTCCAATTAAGCTAGCTGTGGATCACCTCTGTGGATCATCTTTGCACATGAAACTATTCATGAATTCAAAGTCGCTGCCCATAAAAGTGAAGGAAAGGGGGTGGGGTGAAAATGATTTGAGGTCAATGAATTCATTCAACTACTCGGTAACGGACGCCCTTTATTATAACTAAAACTTACAAAAGTTTTATCAAATTTGAGTAATGAAGAAACATGTTCGATACCAGTGTAGGTGTATATGTATTTACTTAGCCAAAGAAATTCATGACTGAATAACAACAACAATGGTAACTGCTTCTGTGTTAAGCAAAGAAATTTTTTTATCAAACCCGAACACGAAACAATTTTCACAATGCCGTACTGTTTCAGAACCAAATGAATACACGTCTCATTCAAGAGCTATAAACAATCCTTAAAGCTGCACGCCTCCAGATGAACCAAAAATATTTCAAGAAAAACAAACTTAAGAAAAATGTACTCAGATTTTATGAGAAGTAAAAAGATTTAAGATTCAAATAATTATTTATGTGCTAAATGTCTTTAACGACCGACGTCGCAGTTCTTATTACCATATTTCTACTGCGTGACTAACGCAATGGCTATTAGTGTATATTTTGGCCCTTTTTTTGATAATGTAAGTAGACTGTAAAGTCTGTTTGTAATGTGTAAATTACTTTCCTTGTTCACTACACTATATCTTTCTTTTTTCGATACATTTTCAAAATTTACATGAAGAATGGGCATGAATCTGAAGGCATGCTGCTTTAACCTGCGGAAATTATTAAATGGACTTTTCAACATTTTATTTAAGGAACAGTCTTTTATAAATTATTATAACTAATTATCACATGAAAATGAAAATTGGAAGTTAGCAAACAGTAAAGAGGCTGGTGAAACTGCACAAATGTGCAGGCTGGCCGGGCTCTATTCTGGAGGCAAAGACTAATGACTTTCGCTTTCAGCAGGCTAAGAAACAAATCTATACATATATTCATTAAATATACTTTTACCTCATCATAATCAGTAGGTTCCAGTTCTGTGATAAGGATGTAACATGCCAAGATCAGTTTGCCGGTGCTCATTTCATATCTTTCGTTCTTTCTTAATTTCAAATCCCGAAACTGAAATATAGGTTAATTTTTTTTATCTATTTATAGATTGAAAATTAAGATGTTATCGGAGTGTCACAATCAAAGTCACCAGATCATTACAAAATACATATTATACATTAGAAATAATTATGATATTTTATAGTATAATTATAATAAGAGATATTTTTATCTCTCTTCCTTCGGCACAATCACTAAAGTAGTGCCGATATCTTTTACCTATTCGTGAATTTGGTTATTGAATATATATTTTTTTGTATTTAGATTGTAATACTTTAAGGAAGCGAGTGATCTCGGAAAGAATAGTTCTTTATATTATGTTCAGTTCATTTTTTTCCAGAAAAGCAACAATAATTAAAAAAAGTCATGGTCCATCTGAAATTAACATGCTTTCAAAATACAAACATTGTACCAAATTAAAAGTTGTAATTATTAATGAACAGTAATCAGTACTTTCTGATTATTTTGTGTGGTACAATATGTTGATTTACTCTCAGCCTTCTAGTGCCAGCATAATATACATGTACCCGTGCGACCAGTGCCGACCAAAACCAGTCGGCATATCCTTGACATCGGCTCATGATCTGCACTATTCGATATTAAGTCAGTACATATTTTGAAATTTTCCCTTAAAATGAGTAATGGTTTTGTCCAGATTTGAAAACGGGCAAGTCCATTTAAAATATTTTGCAGGGTCAAAGGTGTAATCAGCGACTCACAAACCCTTATCTGTAAAATGAATTGTTCTATGTTTAGCTAAATTTTGTATTTCTTCAAAATATCTTTACTTACCTCGACCCTCATTTCATATACTGAACGTCAGGGGAAGTAACTGAGATCACAACATCGAGTAGCAGACACACCGGAAGTCGCAATTTTCCACTTTAACATTTATTGTCGTCTGCTACCTGTGGATACACTATTGGTAACATGGTCGAACAAATGTTACATTTTTTAGCATTTTAAAAATAATTGTAAGTTATTTGTTTAAATTACTGAAATGTTCTTAATGACCCATAACTCAGCATTATTATGCTCATTTGATAAGAATATATAGTAAACTTAAATTATTATTTTAAACTTGACTGCTCTAAATCATGTTGACTAAGTGGCATACATGTAATTATATAAATCAAAATCTAGTTTAAAGTTAAAGGTGTTTAGATTATGTTCCCCGTTACACAATCATAATGAATTCTGAGGTAGGAAGTTACACAAAATCATATGCAAAACGAAGTGTTTTACGAGAACAGACGACCAAGTGACTAAAATAGCCCTTAATCGTTTTTCAAACAGTTGGGCTAAAAATGGTTCATTATGAAACATTAGACAATAATGATATGTCAACATAATTATTACATTGACACGAAAATTTTCAAAAAGTAGACAAGACATACGTTACAAAGTTATGATTTCCTTTTTCAAACCCTAACATGCTGAAAGCGAGTCCAGTATAGAGCTGGGCCAGTCTGTAATTTCGGGCAGTCTGATATGGTGCATGATTGCATCTGCGCGACAACTGTCGTCTGCTAGGATTCTTCCCGCCATTTCCTGCTGTACGTCTGCTAAATGATCAATAAACATTTTTTCTTCAATAGTATGAATTATATAGTGGTAATATTTAGAAATATACAATTTTATCTAGTCTTGTCTTTCAAAAGTAATCCAGTGGTATTTTCTTACGACATCTGAAAACAAACGAAAAACCAAAGAACAATAATATTATACTAGTCTAAAATGTCGCATTCTGCATCTAAAATAATCAGTATACATAATTGTTAAAAATGTCGCATTCAACACGCGAATATCATTATTAGAAATGTCACGTTCTAAATCTAAAAGAATCAATGTTATCTTTAATATATTGTCGCATTCTCCACCTATGTATTTATATAATTATCAAAAATATCACATTAATATTAAACATCAATATAATTATACAAAATTGGGTATTGTACAGCTAAAAATTCAATATAACTATAAATGTGTCTCCCATTTTTATGAAATTGATATAACTATTTGAAATGATGAATAATAATAATTCGACTAGTACATGTGCATGTTTAACAAAATCCAAAATTTTCAAATCGATCACAATGTATCAGCAAAGAATCAACTGTCTTATCGACCACCAATTCCCAAACTATTCAGAAATAAGGCCAGAATTTTCGACAAAGAAAAACAACCATAACACACAAATGACATTAACAACTCCAACAAAGACAAAGAAAAACTACCATAACACACATAAACAACTCCCACAAAGAGACAAACTAAAACACCGAACCAAAATCGAATAACCCCAATCACACACCAACTCCAAAAAATTGAGAAAGAAACCAAAACAACCAAAATCGATATAAACAATGCACACAAAATATCGTCAATATACATAAACATAAAACATAGTTTTCAATTTTGACTTCTAAAATAAAATTTTGTAATTCTACGCAGTTTCAGTTACTGACATAATACCATTTACATGTATTATATGTATATCAAATTTCTTATAATGTCAAATTTTCCAAATGTAAATTGAATTAAATAAGTATGCTGTTTTAATGTTGCATAATGTCCTTGTTCCACAAGCATGGCCCGATATAGTATGATTACTTGCAAGTTCATTGGTTCCTTTTGAAATTTCATCTTCTGAAACTGATAAAACTTACTAAGAAAAGTTAAAACTCATTTGTCTAAAAATAACTAGTTTCTTAAAAAAGCTCGTTTCTATAAATAACTAAATTTACCTGATGAACGTCATTTCATCATCATTGTAACACCCATGGACGTCCTCATCAAAACAACATTGTCATCAACATGGCCATCATTTTACATATCACACGTCAATCATCCGTGTCAATATTTTGTTAGACCTCATATGCCAACTATCAATTATTCATATCTGTATTTTGTTTTATATCATAAGCCAATTATCATAATGGTCAAAAATAACTATGATCGAAACGTCACATGAAAAATTAAAAGTTTAACATGTATAATCCTTATTATTAATGCTAATTTATAATTAGTCCTTATTCATGGAAAATTTAACTTTGTGTCAAACAAATTGTACCTACGAAAAATATTTGATAATTTACATTCAAATTTTATGTGATACAATAACATTTCCCGGATTTTCTGTGAAATATTTACATTTTTTCCTTGAAAAAACAGTAACGCTTTCCCGATTTTCATGTGTAATAATATTACGTTTCGGGTATATAGTTTTTATTAATAAAATATAAAATAACTTACATTTTTGATTGATTCTAAGTTCTTCGACGTCCTAAAATAAAAGAAACAATTCCAAACCTGCCATACTTTTGTTTCCGTCACGTCCCTCTCACAAACTTCACGCAAATGTAGCTAACAGTAAAGTGCATGGAAAATCACTTGACCATGAATCTTGAGCGCTCGGGGACAATCTTGTATGTTTAACCACTGATTGATTCTCACCCAAACAAATCCGTTAAAGACGCCAGCAAAACATTTTCCGATCTCTTTTCAGTCACACGATTTAATTTGCTATGTATTTATATGAAACTATTGTTCCCCGCCTGGATAATTCGGAAAGACCAAAAAGTTAACGTGGTTGGCACACCATCACGTGACATGCGCGAAACAGTTTTTATTCGTCATTCGAGCATTAAGACGAAAGAACAATTGGAAGTGGTATCAAAATGAAATATTTAAAGAAGCTGGGACCTTAAAGTTAAAAACGGTTTATAATATATAAGTTTGTTAAGGTATTTAATTAAAGGAGCTCCATTGTGGTCCTAAAACCTAAACACATAAAAAATACATTCTTACATACTAGATAAACTGCAGGACAAATATACAAAATATGTTAAAAATATATAGGGGATATTCAAGTTTTTTCTGTAAATACACGATTTATTTTCGTCAAGTGGTATGAGAATAAATATTTCATGAGTGGCGGTAGCCACGAGTGAAATGTGATAATTTTCATGCCACAAGATGAAAATAAATCATGTATTTATAGAAAAACTTGAATTTTCTGTTTATTATATACATTTGTCTCTATTTTTAAATTACATTTAGAAGACTATTCCTTAAATTTTGTGTACTGGCAGAATTTAAAAAAAGAGAGAAGTCCGGCAAGACACCAGTGAAAACACAGAAAATATGTTTCACTAAAATACTTTTTTACAGTACGAAAATGAAAATAAGCGTTTTATTTCATCAATATTTCTCAATATTTCATTTATAGGTATATAATAAATATATGTACTCTGATTTGATTTCGATATAAATTCTATTTTGTCAAGGATCTTAATTACAATGTAGTATATAAATCCGCGATTATGTGTAATTCTTGTTCGATTTGGGTTAAAAGCGTTTAACCACTTTTCATTTTTGGGTCATTTTGCACTTATACTGGAAAAATGGAGTGAGCGAATTATCTGAAATCTTGCACACAAGTTAACGTGCATCCAATAGTATATAAATTTAGAAAAAAATATTACCAGGGCTGGGAATCAAAACTGCGTCGTATCCTACAAAATGTAAACAAACGCCGCCATCTTGGAACGAAAAACGTATGTTTTTGTTTATAACTCTTTTTGTTGGAAATGACTGAAAACAAGATATATGTATTAACACGCTACACTATTTTCCGCTTCGTTCGGTATATGTTGCTTGCACAACTATTTTGTAAAACAAAAGTTATAGCGAACTTGCAACTCGAAGCGAGGCAGAATTTTTATGAAAATGTGTGGATACGACGCAGTTCATATTGCTTTATCTATCGTTTTTTCCTTCAAATCAATTATTTATTTGTTTCAGAGTTCACCATAAACTTCGAAATATAATTTTGCATCATTTACTAAAATTTTATTAAAAAGAGATGTTTATTTTCTAAGAAAATAATGATTTTTACGAAATGATACGACGCAGTTGAAAATAAAATATGATACGACGCAGTTGTATTTTTGGCAGTCTTTTCAACAGGGATAATTTTGGCAATATATTTCTATTTTATGGAATAATCACTTGCGCTAGATAAAAACCCAGATCATTTGCGGTGTAAAGCAATGTTCCGTTGATTATTTAGAATACAATGTGTCATGTCCAATATAACATTTAATTTGAAAGTTTACATTGCGTAAGCTACTTTTCTGTTAAACATGAACATGTTACCTTATTGATCATAATATCTGAAATAATTTCTTATATTTTCCTGTATGTTCAATATTATCCTTAATTTTTTTCGCAAAAAAATGTAGAAATCTATTAACTTAAATTCATTTTGGCTAGCTACGCTCTAAGTTAACTGTGGTTCTGCATGTTCTGGGTAATGACTGCTTTTTTGTGGTTTCTTTTCAAACTTTCACTCTACACATTAGCTTTACTAGGGGCGAGGATCTCAGGTGCGCCTTTGTGCATAATTTCAGGCAAAATGTTGTACCTGCAGAGAACCGTCGACATTTTGAAACTAGCTTGATAGGTTTTCCACACAAAAGAATAAAAAGTCCCTGGTGGTTTTCGAATTCATAGCAGTTCAGTTCAAGTGATTTGAATTCAGTAAACATAAACAGCTCGGCCTCGGTCGGACACACCTGTCTGATTTGTTTTTTCAACAAAATTTGTTAACGTCAGCTGTACAAATAAGCAGCTTTTTTTATTAACTTCTGACGTGAAGTTTTAAGATTATAAATATTTGAAATAATTATAAAGAGAATAAAATTTAAATTTCTTATTTTGGTATTAATAGCAGAGAAATTTTCAATGTAAACAGGGGGTAATCCTCTGTGAAGTCATTTTCTGAAAACTTTTGTTTCAGTTTTCAGGCAATTCATTATCAAATAAAAATCACACTTTCGTATGAAGGTATGTTAAGATGTCATGTCTCTAGTCTGTTGAAAATTCGATACGATAATCTGACATTTTCTGTTCAATATTGTGAAAACTTAATAATTCTTCAATACTGTTGAAAGATCATGTCTGCCTATATCTGTATCAAATTTATCGGTGCATAGCGTAAAATACCTTTGCAAAACGGACACCTTTTTTACAAAATAATTTGTAGTTGTATCAATTGTAACTCGATTTTGAAAAGTTTTTTGATGGAGAAGAATGATACTTAGGTGCAAATATAGAAAATACATTCCGTAGACATTTCCTCATCGGCGATAAAGAAACGCAGGGGTAAAGTTCCGCGGCGCTGAACATAAAATGACTAAACGGAACGCATAACCTACTTGCAAAAATATATTGTAGCTTAACCATTTATAATATTATTTTAAAAATTTAATGTTAGGTTTCAAATAATAAAGCTCATCTGTCCTCGTCGATTATTAAGAAAATGAATACAATAAAATTGGCACGTAAAAGACAAAAGTAATAACGGAATTGACGGAAATAATTGCTCATTACAAGTAACAACGGTAGGCATGCAATTTGCGCATTCCCGATAGCGAGAGACCTTTTCAAAATTTGTAATTTTTTCTCTTTTTTTAAGAAAAAAGTCATTCCTGATTAATACAGGGTCCAGTGGAGGTTACACTGGAATATTGAATTTTGTATCAAAAATAGTAATCACTCCCATTTCGAACTCACGTGAACAAGTTAATAAGCATGCTAAG